TTTGACATTTTGCCGTCTCAAATTGAATTATTCTTTGCTCAATTTATTTTTGCAGTTGTCCGTTTTCATGACATTGCACTGATGGATTATATTCGGTCTCATGTACAAGTATATGGTTTTTACATTGAAATGTCTACATCTGAAATTCAAATGAGTTTTTTTCTTTTGCTCCACAATACATGATAAAAAAGCTCAAAAATACTTGATTTATTTACGCTGACCGACGTACAGTTTCCAAAAGAAAATGTCAAATTGTCTAGTTGTTGTTCAATATTCCACCAAGACGTAATCATGACGTCATCTGCACTTACCTAACGCAATAAGCCCAAACTTAAGTTTGGTACCTTCAAATGGCCTTCCACAGCGGCGTCTCACACGAGTAAATCCATTTCTTGGGGAAGGTTTTGCTGAGTATTCCATATGACACCATACATTGGCTGGAAGCAGTAATTTCAGCGTGCTTTTCGGCACTTGCTACACCGTGCGTTACCGGTGAGTAGTTTTCTCCAATCCACGCTATTCGTCAAGCAAATCTCGTATTCCACTCAAAGACATACGAAACCACACACGCTTTCACTACACAACACATACGATAACTCCTTCAGATATGGTCATTTCAAAAGTGCGGAATTATAAAGTGTTTCCAGGTTACTGGATGACATCATTCAGAACGATATTGATGCACTATTTGTCGCGACAATCATAATCAAATCAATTGAACACGACCGTATAAGTCAGAGGAACACCGTCCTAGTTTGTACGAGCTTCGGTTAACAACAGACAAGTATTACACTGGTCATGACATCCAACCGTCTCGCATAAGGCACACGCGTTCAAAGGAAGAGATATCAAAAAAAGAAGAAGCCCACTTGTATTTGACAGCGGATGAGGACATTCAGTGCAACGTCGGGAGGTTGTCGAGTCAAAGAAAATGCCGCTTGGCGCTCGCGTCGAGTCCAGGCCGGTGGTAAATAGGGACTTGAGAAGCTGGAGGGGACTTGGCTCGTCTGTCTTATCCGTTCGCAAGACGAGGTAATCCTCACCACTCCAGGCTATGCGTCCAAGTCCAAGCACCAGCCACGTCAAAATGGTAAAACTATAATCTGCTCGGCAACTGGAGCAGGTCGATTGGCTAAATCCACCAGTCGGTCTGTTCATCAACGCTTGCAGATGGAGGGGGAGAAAGTATAGATCTTTGTCTTTAACGTCTCCAGAACAAAAAAAAAGGACTTAAATCATTCAGTACAAGTGATGGGAATTAACTAAGCGACGTTAGGAAAATGAAGTCTACACATTGGTTGACTCTACAGCGGAAATGGATGGAAGGCACAGGAAACACAATGATGTTGGTTCAACTCGAATGACCTAACAATTACGTCTCACGCTCACTGAATCACGCGGTTTTTCCCTCTCTAAAAATCATTACCGTGGGGAGATCCGAAATTGATTTAATGTAGCGGGAGTTACCAGGTTATCACGACTACGTCGTTTCCCGTGCAGTACGCGCCCCGTACTCACAGCATTATAATAATGGAATAGCTGTGCAGTTAAAAAAAACCAACGCGTGCCGATATTTTCTAATAGAACGGATGTATTATTTCATAGCTGCTATTGTTGACGGGAGGCCCTGGTATATTCTGGACGCTGGCGGCGCTCTACTTGGCTCCTAATTTCAAGGTGAGGATTCTGGTCACGACGTTAGAGACACTTTCAGCGGATATAGTTATGGTAACAATAGACTTATCCATAGTGACGGTTACTTAGCAACGGTCTGAAAAGACACGCTCATCCGTTTAACTTTTCAGAGGAAAACCCGATATTTCATTTGTATTTTTTCACATTTTGTTTTAAAACTGACCAAAACCCCAACCTGCGGTAGGACAATTTACCGGTACAAAGATCTATACGCGTAGTATGTTACTTAATGTTCCTAAAAGGTAGGCTTAATACCTTAATTAATCGTATGTAAAATAAAATGCGACAATCAAACACACTGCCTTTCTACAACTCCCTTTCCTCTGATAAATTGAAATAGATGTCTCGGGAAAATAACATGCTTTAAACGAATTTTAAAAAAAAATGTGTTTTGTTTTCAGTCGAAGAAAATTGACCGAGTTGGCTTGCCATAGCTGTACGGAGACGATGACATCATGCAAGGTATATGCTTTCGGTCTAACCTCCGCTATAAATGCGTAATCCCGGGGTTTGCCACAGGGGAACGAGGTAGCTCCACATGCAATGACAGGGGGAATTAGGGGTTATTACCAGGCTCAATATTGATGGCAAAAACGACCGTGTTTATACGGATGATGGCACGCCGGGCAAAGCGTCGGTATTACGGTACAGTGGAGGCGGTTGAGTCACGGTGTCTGGCGAGTTTAATGGAGTATTTGGAATTCCGTATTTTGTGACAGCTTTAAAACCGTTGACAAATGTGCTTCTTTAGATTGTCTTCAGAGTGTGATTATTTTTTTTTTAAGTTGAATATATTGAAGTAATATTTGGAAGTTCTCGTATTTTTGACACCTTTAACTGCTGATGAATAAATTAGCTCATTTAGAATTAATTCAAACACGAACTTCAATGTTTATTAACTTGAAGTAAAACAAAATCCTTAAATATTTTGGTACATGATCGTACCTGTCTTCGTCTTACTTAGTTAGCTTAGGATTTCGCATAGGTCTGAATTCGAAAAGTAAACTACAAAATTTAATGAAATATGTAGAATCAATTCACAGTGCGATTTTCTAACTGTTTATATTATTGCATTACAAAAATTCCAACACAGAAATGTTTTAGGTACCGCGTAAATGTTTTGGTATTGGGTTAGTAAGATCTTGCATGATTGACATCGTTATGTATAGGAAGTGGAAGGACGATTTGAGGAATTAGAAGTAAAACCAGCCTGAGGCTATATTCATCTGGCTGCAATTCGGTCAACGAAATGCTTTTTTTTTTTTATCTTGGCCCATCAGAGACTTCACGGTAGAGAGGGAGAGTTTTTGGTCGGGGATTATTTTGGCGCGAACCAAGCAGGACACTGTCCTGTCCTGTGCGCCATTCATTAATGTATCTTCGCCCTTGCACTCAAAGATGGTACAAGATGGCATTTTCTGTGCATGCACTGTCTGAATCTTTCACTGATTTTTTCAATAAAAGATCAGGAAAACAGTCTGTGGAATAGATCTTTGCACAGCAATGGTTTATGATATGCGAGCAGATTCGGCGATTAATTATGCAAAACAAGACTGCGTCTTGACCTTGAGATTCTGACCATTTAGCGGGCTCACTCTATCGGGTCTTCCGCATAACCCGTTGTTGTATTACAAAAACACGTCAGCCAAACTGACCAATCAACAGCTCAGTCCACATTTCTGATCGAAATGACGTCACGTTTTAAAGTCGATTCCGATTGGCTGGTGCATCCACGGAGTCGCATGCAATTTGCATTGCTCGGATATTTATTAGACGTTGGATACGGAGAAGGCTCCGTTGGACAACGGGCGATACTCAGACTATAGGAAACAGAACGATGTGCCGCAAAATGTTAAGCCAGAGTGACTTATCAGAACTGTATTTAAATATCGTGATGGGGATTTTCTTCCCCCATCAAACTAATGTAATTTCGTTACCATATTTCAGATTAAGAGACACATGTCCAAGAAGTAAAATTTAAAATGGAAGGTGCTTTCTACTAATTTCAACCCAAAGAATTCCATTGACACAACAGCCTACCCTAATTATATTCGGGTGGGACCTGAGACAAAAACAGCTGAAATGTCTCGCCAATTTCAAAGTGCGTCGTGCTTTTTAACCTGTAACTAAAACGCTTTTATGTGCCATACCACGATACCATAATCCGTTATTCATTAAATAAAAAGATCAACGGCCGCAACGGTTCCTATAGGACGAAAACGAAATCAATGTTTGCCACAAAAATATGGGCATAATACATCATTATGCGTTAGTTTTTGAACATCAAATTCACCAATTTCACGCTTGGAGACAGCCAATCGATGCAACATGGTTGATTTTCCGCAAGAAAGCCTGGCCAATTTTTTTTTTTACAACTCCGATTTCGAGACTCGGACAAAAAACTCCGGCAGTTATATCTGGGAGGAATATACCGCGGGGCGCAACGACGCGCGTATCGGGCGCGTTGGGCGTGAACAACTTCATCAACATCGTTGACTTGTGATCTTGGCGTTGACATTTTCTAGTAGAGTTTCTTCAGGATACTTGTTCATTTTCAGGTTTCTCATGCCCGTGATGTCGGCCGGAGCCCGAGGGATGTACATGTGCGGTTAGGAACGCGTTAAGACCTCCAAACTGTCTTGAATTTAATAAAATCCTTTCGATGCCTATAACGCCTGTTACTTGCGCCAATTTTCGTTGAAAACGCGCCTGGTGGCCCGATAATGTATACTCGCTGCTTCGTAGCACGGTGTATGGGTCTACGTTCCAACCCTGAAAATGCTACAAGTCTAACTCATCCAACCGAGCCGACAAAAACACAGACTTTTAATCAAGTGAGTTTGTTCAACTGGCAAGAGCAGCACTAGAACAACAAATGGTTGTGATTCCAGCGTGACGAGACTTCTCTGTGATACGTTAGCGCTGCTTAATCACGCATGCGTGATTACGAAGCCATACCGTATACGCATCCGCATTTTTCGTGAGGGTAAAGTCAGCATGGGAGTCAATTATGCCTGACTGTGACTCCAGAATCTGGCAAAGATTGTGAAAGGAAAAATCAAAATGTCAGAAATACGATAAAGAGATCATAGGGAATGGAGTTTTTTTTAGGTAAAGAAACGAACATGTTGTGGCAACTATACTCTTCAGCATACTGCAGATAAAATATACCAAATGTCGACAATAAAAATACACAGCACAATGGTTTTAGCTTTCAAGATTAAATTAAAAGCTGGAATGGACAATATGAAAACTAACAAAATTTGCCCCAAAAGATCGAGAAGTCCGTAATTAACACAAACATGTTCTTTTCATGTAACTCTTTTCAAGTCCTTTATTCTTACACTTTCCATATCACTGACCATACCACTGCACTATACTCTACGCTACACTTTATAATAAGCCTTCTCGCAGGAAAGTGGTCCAATTTCTCTTAGCAACAAAAAAAAATATGTCCTCCACTTTTGTGAAAATCATAAAAACAAACAAAATAATTGATTTTACCACTAAAAAGACAACATATCGAGTGACGACTAAAAAAGGGAGTGGCCACGCCCACAAAATTCTCTTCTGTACACATCTTACGACAAAGAGGTCAATCATCTTGAAAACCAACTGACAGACAACATGACACAGACAGATGAGAAAGATGCTGATTTTCTATATCGGAAATTAACGTCAAATATGGATAAAAAAATCCAACGAAATAAGCATGTAAGGACAGCAAGAAATAACTGCTTTGTAATGAACATTTTCTTTTTGAATAAATCGTAAAAAAAGAAAGACCAAAAAAAGTGTTAGACTTTCACGCACTAATTTGAAAATGAGAGAATATTGTCACAAGAAACACATCGAACAACGTTAACAATAGAAACATCTTGGGATTAGTTGTCCAAGAAATACAAGCGATATCCAAGATGCTGCCTTCCTCTCTAAGTGTAGGAATCCTTCCCTTTGGGTATTTGAACCTTTTGAATTGAGAGAGACACCAAGGAGTCCAATTCCCTCTCAATGAAACTGTAGATCCCCAACAATGCAAGTCTATATACCCTGTGGCAAATCCACTCACTTTTCATGTTTAGTCTTCAATAAAACACACTGAACAATAACCACATGAGAAAAACATTAACGACTTCAATCAAAAATGGACTTTTTTTGGGTTACAGAACTGAAAACCAAGCATCACGAAGAACTTTTTTTGTGCTGCACGATAAACCTGTTGATTAAACTTGGAAATTCAACAAATTAAAAACAAAAGTATCTATGTACATTTGTGCTTTTACATGACCAAAGAAAACACATTTAAGATCAGTACATATTTCTTGTCATTTCTTGCTCACTATTGACAAACACATCTTTCATGACTGGCTGTGACTGTTTCAATCCTCTAATGATTATTCCAAATTGCGACTTGCCAAGACCACAATAAAATGTCAGGGTTTTTTTCATTCACAAAAACACTTACAAAAGGTAACAAACGTTTGACATGAAAAGCCAGGAAAAATACAAATATTAACATGATTGTTTAAGTAAAAATCTGCAACATCAATGTGTAGATTCCAAGAAAAAAATAAAGTGCCATTTTCAAGAATCTGCAATTGTTTAAATGTACGTAATGTCTTAAAAATTATTTTGTAATAAAAACGCGGACTCCTTTCTATTTTTTGTTCAAACTTATATAAAAAAAACCATTCCAATCCTTACAGTGACCATGGTATATTCCCACCTCCATGCAGTGACAAACTGCTTGGTCACCTTTAAAAGCTTAGGCGCCTGGTGCACCTTTAAAAGCCTATGCACCGCAGTACTGGTAGTGTTAACAATGTTGTACCAACTTCTGAATTCACAGGTTTTACAAAACGCAGGTGTGAGAAAAATAATACATGTTGAGTGCGGACACAAAGAACAATAAAACCAACGCTTGGATTAAATGGCGGGAACGTGAAGTGTGTACCTAAATTATTAAGTGGCTGAGCACAGACTGTTTACACAGCCCGCATGAAGTCAAAGAATCAATGTTTCATTAATTGATCTGGTGAATGAGACACCCAAAGACTGGCTGACTGTAGCGGTGCGCTTATTATGAAGCTAAAAAAAGGGATTAATGTTGGGCAAAATCGCTGGACAGAGATGGTGTCGTATAGAGTGTTTCCTGGCTCATTTATGCTCACGGCAGTGACACCCTCCTACGCAAACACACATTTTGTGCCAAGTTGTCCTTGCAGTCAAAATCAATCAAGTGACTGTTTTCAACCCGTAAGAATTCCCATGCCCACATAAAGCAGGATTGACTGCCTTGGACTGAGTAAGTAGATTGATACAGCTATGCTTTCTTAACTCCCGGTGAGTGATAAAACAGCTGTGACCACAACTTGCCCGCTTTGTCTGTTGACCCAGTTTGACTAGATACAGTGCTGGCTTCACATATGATCTGACTGCTGGTGACTAGCCTTTGTTAAAAAAAGTATAGCAGGGGAAGTTGAAGTGAATTTTGACTGTCCGTGACTGCTAGCCGGAGGGTTAGTGGATTCATTGTGAGACTCGATAAATATGCCATGAGTATAGTTAACGATTGGTATAACTTTAGAAAAAAATGTACTGGCTCTAGTATCGGAGATTTATAGAATAAGCGTGAAACTGATAATTTATCATTCAACATCAGTGTGATTTTGGTCTTGATTGACTCTCTAACAAGGATGAAAACTTTGCATATTTTTGTCAGTCTGTGAAGAGACTGCATAAATTCTTATGGTATTTATGACTACAGATTGATGCCAATTTTCAAATGATTGGTCGAAATTTTGGGATCAACAAGGCACGGGGTGATTTCGGTGGTGTGAAGGAAGTTCAGTAAAAAATGGATACAAAAGGATGAAATTGGAACTCGACAGAATACACATCAACAGCAACAACGCAGTCAACATCTAAAAACTCGTCAATAACTTGATTTGCTTTTTCAAGAGAAAACCCTGTAATTACAACACATGATCATTTTCACTTTTTAGCCCCAAATTAAGTTTTCTGACTCTCTGCACAGGATCAACACTCATCTCACATTTCTAAGCACAGGACATCTTTACTTGGCAAAAAAAAACAGGTAACCGGCCAAAACGTCATACAATGCGTATTGTTACTCACTGGTTCCCGGCCTACACCGATAAGCAATATTTTCTGATTCACAGATCTCTAAAACTCGGCCCAAATATCAGGTATGAGAAATTTTCACAGAGAGAGAGAGAGTGAACACCACAATTTGTGTTTTTGGACGAGCGAGAATTCTGGATTCAGCTTTCTTGTTCCCCTTCCTCGCTGCTTCCTGACGTTGCTTCAGCATGTTTGCAGTGGACAGACCCACAACAACAGGTGAAAAACTTGGACTTTATCGCCCAGAACTTGTCACCGTAGTCAAAGCTGAAATTGAAAAACAAATCAAACGTTTTAACTGAACTCTTGGCATACGGTGAGCTGATACAAGTGGTGCAAAATGCTAGCCCTAGCCGCCCCAACCCTTCAAAATCCAACTGCAAGTTTTGCTTGATTCTGTTGGACTGAGTACAATGTACTGCACTGGTAAACTGATTATTAATGCTTTACATGGGGTCAGGCATACCACCATAATCAGAGTCCAACAGCTTGGGTGCTGAGTTACCATATGGGGTTGAATTTTGCAAGAGTGAGGAAGGTTCCTTGTAAATCACTAGGTTAGGGTTACGAGAATGAGCAAATGTATTTGGGTCATTTTATAAATATTAGGGCTCCACTCTTTTTTTTTTCTGTCGCAGTTATTTGTTTCAATCTTTTAAACCAGTTATCTTCGACCCTCCAAGAGTATATATGAATAACAAACTTCCTACCACACAAATACAAAAATGGTTTGAGGTCATTCTTAATGATACTTGAATGGCAAATTCCATGGTAACAGGACAGAAAGAATGTCACAATTTGGACCCCGAGTTTCTAGAATGATCCATTTGCTCAAAGCTTTAGCAAATTGTTTTAGTGCGTACAATTTAGTCAAATCGTTCCATACTCATGAAGTTAAAGGCATAACGAGTTGGCATAATCACAGTAAAATGAATTTTATCTAACAGAAAAACCATGTGATCACTGCCAAGCTTAAATGACATTAACCAGTTAATTCTCCTAAGACGTTAAGCTGTGTACTCTAGTAAGCGTAAGGTTATGGGGCTTAAGTCCCATGTGGACCAATTTGTGATCTTGCACTCATAAGCTCTAGCAGTGGAGTGCTTCTATGGAAAGTGAACGGGAAAACCCTGTGCAGCGTACTATTACCTCTTCTTATGAATGGGAGTCATATACTTTGACCTCAATTTGCATGTTGACCCCAAGTGGGCGTGGTAAACTTGGTGAAGTAATTTTGCCACAGTTTTCATCATCACCGTTATGTTTTGCGTAATAGCGATACGTTTTGGCGTGTTCTCACAGAGACAATGTTGTAATATTTAACTATTCAAAGTCTGGGAGAAACAAATTTGCCAAAAAAGCGAAATGAAACAAATAAATCATTTAGTTCACGTGCCGACCGTGACTTCAGAGGACAGTGAAATCGGAGCATATATATACCATTTAAGGACCTGCATATGATATCCAAGCCCCCCATTGACCATTGCATTTTGTCCTTGAATACACTCTTTACGCCTTTTACAAAAAACTTGACACACAGACAGACAGACAGACAACGAAGGATCTTTTAATATAGGATGTCCGTGTTAGCAGAGGAATCTCTTTTTTTGGGGGGGGGGGGGGGATTTGGAAGATTACCAGCAGGTTTTTAGTAATATTTGACCTACAGGTATCAGATAATGATATGACCATCCTTCATTAATTCAGTGAACTAGAAGTGTACTCCACAGTCCAGTAAGATCTGTACTCAGATCTTGCTTCTTCTTGCGTTATTAATTGGATCTTGTCGTTTCCCGACATTCCGCGGATTTTAACATATCTCACTTTCGCGGTTTATACCCCCTTCGGGGGCAGTACATGAGGACATTGGACAATTCTTGTATGTGTTGAATTGCCAAGGGTGTGTATCTCTCAAAAGGTATTGATACGTAAAACTTGATGTAGGCACAAAGACACGGACTTTTTTTTCTTCTAATTTTACTCATAACGAATATCACGTTTTGAAAATATTATGTGGAGGGTAAAGAAGAAGAATTTTTATGAAAAAATTTCAGTTTTAACCACTGAAAACTAGGGCAAACCTCTGAGAAAGAATCACTTTATAGTACTTTTTTACTCTCTACAATTGGTCCAATTTTGTGAAACAATGCAAACTGACTAAAAACAAATTTGAAAATCAACCTTTTACTGCATTAGTCACAAATGAAATTACTTATCCAGTAATAAGTTGAGTATTTATCCCGAAATCATATGATAAAACTCAGTTTTGATGCATCTTCATTTGTTGCACAATTTACTCTTTCTATCTTTTTGGGGGGAGTTAGGGGACGCCGGAAGTGAAGTGAAAAATATCACTTATTTTTCACGCATCAATTTTGTCATACAATACCATTCCTTCAAGCAATGATCATAAATGATACTCATAACCCATTTCCGTTGATCCCCACTTGAAACTGTCCGGCTCAGAATAGATCAGGCCTTTGAAATTGGAAGCTGCAATTTTCTGATCGAGCCCAGAGTCCCGGCTCTTTCTCTGAAGAAATCAACATCAAACGACGCCATTCCCCGGGACCTATTTATCCACAAAATAGACCCTTTTTCCCCTCTTCATTCTAAGACAACTGCAGCCTGAACACCATCTGTTTTTGCAGCAGTACCGAGTTGAGCAATTCTTCTCTAGTTTCCGACCGAGTCTTTGCTCCTAAGACGAGGGGGCACACCACGGAACGATCGCCGCCGGTCGCCGACAAAAAAGCTAAACACTTTTCAGATTTCCCGTGTGACTCGGTCACCCGAGGCCAGGCTTTACATTAACATGTTTTGATGGAAAGCAAGTCTTACGGCAACCAACCACGCATCTTGTCCTCTTGTTTTTTTTCTTGGTTTTTTTTTTATCTCCCGACGTTCTATTCTGACCGTTTGTTTTGGAACACCTATGACTTATTCATTTGCGGGTGATGCAGGGGATGAGGTAGTCTTGCTAGGGGGGACGGGTTGATGGGAGAACATTAACTGAAAGCAATGAGGAGGGATTGAAGACATCGACTTGGGATGAAAACTGACAAGTCACTGTATCCCGTTTGATGGATAGACATCAATATATGAAAATTCACGATTGTGTACACTACTAGTCATTATCTGAAAATAAACTCACTCACTTATTATCATCAAGCTTCGTGATTTTTGGAAATCTAGTAATACCACGTTGGGATTCATTTCATTTGGCACAATGACATTCGATGGGAAAATAAAAAAAACCTTCCATTTGTAAAACTTTAAATTGCAATGGTGCGTCAGTGATTTTGTTAAAAATGTGTTGAGGGTTGAGGTACTAATGTTAAGAACTGACTCCCATAAACAATTTTTTTTTTTAAAGTAAACTAGTGCATTTTTACAATGTTTCATTGTTAAGATGGGTGGTATTAAATTACTTGAAAAATAGGGTTTTTTTTAAAAATGCAATGAACAAAACAGGTCTTCTAATTATATATTCCGACGTGTGAACACTTTTTATGTTTTTGGTAAAATCAGGTACCAAATGAGCTCAACCGTTCACAGCGCAACTACATGTACATCCGGGGTATTATTTTCATTTTTTTTTTAAAGTCTGAAAATTGGACGAAAGGTCTGAAAGATGCACGTTTTTTTTCCTATACTGACAATGTCTTTCTTTCAGATTCAAAGAGTCTGAAATAAAAAATGCCTGATGATTTATGTGTAACTCTTGATTTCCAGATTGTGTACAAAACAAATATCAGAAATGTAATGAATCCTTTTAGTTTTATAAAAACCAATTACGGTAAGGCCAAAAAAAAAATAGTTCTGCTTCCGGTTTCCCTACCTACCCTATTCTGACAGCCCCTACCCTAATTTTTTTATTGAAAAAATGAGAAAATAACACCCAAAACCATCAATTTCTACCTTTTACCCTTGACTACACGCAGAAACCTCCATATGATCGTACACAAAAAAATTGGCACAAAAAAAAATTCCGTACCTACCTACCCTATTTTCAAATGCCATGTAATCAGAAGCAGAACTATTTTTTGTTTTTGGCCTAATGGAGTGTCAACATACAAGACCCATGATTCCTCATCTCATATTGCATAAATGCGTTTCTGCTGGGCATCAACAAATAAAGAAATACCAACACAAACTACTAAACTTTATCTATAATTAGTATCCATCATGATACACTTGTGATAATATGTAAGTAATAAGTGCAACGCAATATCTATTCCAAGCATTGTGAAAACGGGACACAGAATGAGCTTAAACGCAAACGTAAAATGTTAAGCTGCTCACCATAGTAATTTGTCTAACGACCAAGAAACAACAATTGCAGATAGACGGACTTAGCCCACAATTCCATCATGTGCATTGATAAATTATTGTTGAAAAAATAACGGACCTGAAATTTAACACTGAGATACATGTATAGTGCATGGGTTACATGATTACTGACCCGTGAGTTTCGTGATCACTGCACTTGGGGAAAGATTAGGAAAAAAAATTGTGTATTCATCATTTTCACAGAAAAAAAGAAAAGAAACGACCACAGAAAAGTATCGCACTCACTCCTATTGTGTCTCAAATGTGCTTATCATTTATGGACTTTTCCTCATTTTACCATGGCAACAGCATGGGTTGAAACTTAAACTTTGAAAAAAAAAAAAAAAAAATCCCCTGTTCTTACCCAAGCTCCTCCTGTGCTTTGATGTCACGCGAAGCGAAGAACGCAATCCTGGGGAAGCTGATATCGCGGTGCTCGATAAACACCCGGACCGGCACGATGTTGGGATCGCACTGGTGATTAATGAAACGACTGATGTTGCCATAGTAACGGGCATCGATACAATACACCTCCCGCTCCTGGGGATGACAAGGGGAGATTTTGGAAATAATCCCCGAGAACTAAAAAAAAAATTAGCTGCAGCCGATGAGATTCACCGTCAACGGTAGTCTGTCTGCGGAGGCGGGATTAGGATTAAGCCCAACATGATAACTTCATTTGGGGATTTTATATTAAATGACACAGATTCAGTTTTGAGGCTACAAATCAATATCACAAAAGACCTTTGCGGATGAACATTAATAGCCTTTGAAAACTTGACTTTTAGGTTTTTTTTAAGGGAATATACATCATTGGCTTTTGCTGTAATTTTCAGAAATGAACTATTTGAGAGGTTAGTATAATAGATCAAATATTGTTACACTGACATTTTTGAAGTTCTGTGTTCTAAAAGGTTGGAAAAACCAAAAAAAAAACCCAAAAATGTTCAAGTAGTCTGGTTCCCTGACTCCACAAAAGATAAAATGGATCAATTTATAGATGATGGAAAATTGTAAGGCAAGGGAACCAGTCTAGCTGGCCTGCACCCGTTCATGAACATGTAACCAAGAGCAAACAAAATTTGGACTGAAAAAATGGTAAATTTGGAGCAGCAGTTGAAAAATAGTTAGGTTTTCCAACGCTGGTCGGCCGACCACCGTTGGAAATGTTTACAAAAACACCATTTTCTTGAAAATGACTTCATACCAGGTGCCATAATTTTACAAGATGCTTGAGACTGTCATTTACCAACATCCTAGTAAGGTATTTCGTAAAAACTTGGTAGTTTTATTTTTCGATGTTTGCAAATGTTGTACATTCCCTTTAAACAATGGATTATGCAAGAATAAATGTCACACAATATTCAAAATGTATAGTTGGATTAGACAAAGTGGGCTTTGGTCGGTTTGAAAGTTAATTTCTTTATCAGTTGTTATGTCTTACATTGAATCCAGGATGTGGGAGGGGCAACCTCAACTCCGCCCCCAAATGAGTCTAACTAATGGATATCGTACCTCATTATCGAGATCAAACAGGTAAGAATCATCCTCCCTTTTGTCAGCCTCCGCATCAGAAATTAGTTCCCCTGCGTACCTGATAAAAAAGAAGACAGCATTACGAGATTAAGTTAAATGAGTGCTTGAAATGGGCATCTCAATACTTCGTTTTGAGGATTGTACACCAGGTAGCCACATAAAGTCATTTGCGTACCCAGAATTTCATACTTACTTCCCACTTTGGCAACATATAAGGCCGAATAAAAAAAAAAACATGTTTCTCGTCCGGGTTTTCGAAAAAAAAGGAGGAAGCGGGGCTTTTTATTTTTTATTTGTTTCAAGATGGCCGCCATTTAAAAATTTCCTGCAATTGTTGGTGTTTCCACTGTTCAAAGACACTTTTAAAATGAAAGATAAGTTGGACAAGAGAACTGAACATATTTACAGTGTCATTTAGACTTGTATTGGTCTACAATTTATTTTCCGATGAATTTGTGGACTTTTTCGGTGTTTTTTTACTGCATTTTTCAAAAATAAAAAATAATAAAAAAATTCAGGCGGCCTCCAAAAAGGAAGCGGGCGGGGACAAGAAACATTTTTTTTTTTACTTCGCCTAAGAATTTGGTCACTTAAATTGATTTCAGTTGTTTTTGTTTTGATGTAATAGAGCTTAAAAATGTACGACATATCTGAAATGTATAACATATCTGGAAATTTGAAGGATTTGAATTAAGACAACCGCCATCTTGAATATAATAATTCTACCAATTTATAGTTGGCACATTTATTTCCATGTCAAGGGTGCAAACTACGTTTCTTTTAAGTAAGATTTGAGGCTTTGCATGGTGGAGATACTTCATAATGAAAGGTTTGCGGAAACACCATGTGCGAATAATTTTTCAACTAAGAGAATGGTTCTGAAAAGAACCAGAGGTATAAACTTGACGTTCCGACCAGTATGCTCTGACCGTCTTCAGGAGAGTGCCTAAACTAAGAATACGTTTCTTTTGCTGTAAGATTTCTTAACTGGTGAAAAGAGCATCTCTTCTACTACTATCATACTTTGACAGTATGAAATTTTATTTCATATTTGGCAGCAAAGAGTGCTGAAAATTGTCCGTTCTCTGGTAATGAACTTACTCGCATATGAAGGTCCCCTGTGGTACGTCTTGAGTGACCCGCACACCCCAGCCTATTTTAGCTGTCCGGTACAGCTGTAGGTGGCATCGTATGCCGTTCTGGACCACACGATTACGGCAGGTTCGCCAACACTTACAGCCTGGACCACATTCAAAGATCAGCGGGGGCTCATGGTAGTCAAAATCTGGGAAGAGCCGACAATCCTAAAAAAAATATTAAAAAGATGTGAGGTTAAACAATATACTAGAGCAGGACATGAACCTAGAACATCTAGAATAGTGAACCGGTGTTCTACCAACTGAGCTACCAGCCCTGAAATACAACATTAACCCTCCTATGCAAACACACATGCTGTGCAAAGTAGTCCTTTCAGTCAAAACAAACAAGTGACTGTTTTCAACAGTTAAGAATTCCCAGCCTACATAAGCAGGATTGACAGGCTGGGATTGTTTAAGTAACTTGATGCAGCTATGTTTTGACTCCGGGTGAGTGATGAAACAGCTGTGACCACAACTTGCCTGCTTTGTCTGTTGACCCAGTTTGACTAGACACAGTGCTTGCTTGACATACAATGTATGATCTGACTGCTGGTGATTAGTCTTTGTTAAAACTATAGCAGAGGACGCGGAAGTGAATTTTGACTGTCTGTGACTGTTTATATAGCAGGAGGGATCAAGCAAAACTACACAAAATATCAAAATTTCAAGACCATGAATCAATTACAGGTAAATGAAGAAAGTGAGTAGCTGAGGCAGCTGTGCTTGAGATCAGGGGGTTTGAGGTTCGAATCCAAACATAAGTGCACTTTTGCTTTACACTGTGCATTCCAGGTTTGAATTCTCCTGGAATGTACAGAACCTATGGCCTCCACAGGCCTCAGCCTGGCCTTAGTGCTTTATTAAAATCCTCTCATGAACACTCGACTTTTTCTGAGAGAGGTTTGCAGAAAAACAATATGGCCTTGCTCCTTGAACACCGCAAGCTCTGCCGTTCCCATGGCAACCATCTCCCAAGCAACTCAAATGTCAGTGGTCTGGTCTGTGTACTTTACGCCGACTGCGATATTTTTTTTAACTTAGTGCAAGTTGTAATTTTCCTTCGTACCATATTTGTTGTCTACACAATTGAAACTATAAGTGACAAGGATGAAAAACCGGCTGGTGAATTCAGTTCATAAATTACGAATGTGGGAGGGAAAACTCAAGGGGAAAAAATAGCTGTGGACAGGAAATACCTACGTCAATACTGAAATTACTTGAAACATATGACGTATGGTTGTTGACCCCTGCCAATACAGAGACCTTATTTTTTAATTGGAGTGATGGTTTGATAAGCCTAAGAAAGAGAGAGGTAATCCTGACCAGAGATCCCAGAGGAATGGTCGGGATTGGTGTCCCATGCATAATACAAAGACATCTGGCATTCCGTGTTTGAACTTGAGGTAACTCTGACAAAAGGTCAGAACAAACCCGAGTCTGTGACCTTTTGAAACCTGGAGGGTGGACAGCAGGGACAAGAAACGTGACAGATTGAGGAGGTGAAGTTTCCTGTTTCTGCCTCTTGATACAAACTAATTTGACATTTTAAAAAAAAATCCTGAATCTGTAGTTTCATATTTTATTTATGGACAGCCTTTTGAGCAGCTTCTTTAACTGTACATTTTGGGTGGACATGAACTAAGTACGGATTATCATCAGTCGTTTCACTCATCAGTCTGTTCGTCATCAGTCTCCTGATGACAAACAGAGCACACTGTCCGAAACTGTCGAGTTAAAACCAATGCTTCTGCTCAGAATCACACAACTCCATAATAATAGCGGGTATTTATAAAGCGCACGTATCCACCACAACTGGTGCTCAAGGCGCTACATCATTATTACCCCTGCTCATTCGGCCCATGATACCATCTCCAAATACGGTACCATCTCAGCTCCCTGGGGAGTATACAGCTCGATGCAGCCTGTTAGGCGCAAGGAAGCTAATTCAATCACAATAACCATCTCTGCCCTCACAGGTACCCATTTACTCCTGAGTGGGTGGAGAGAAGCAATGAGTGACAAAGAGCCTTGCCCAAGGGTACACGCACCATAACCCCAGGCTGGACCTGAACCCACAACCTGCAGCTTTACCCACAGACCATGAATCCAATGCCCTTAACCATGAGGCCACAGCACTCTACTCAAAAAGAGATAATATTCACATGGTGTTTACTGCAAACCTTCCATATGAAAGAATGTAGTATCCTGACGCACTTCTTTGGTTGTGTACAAAGTCTATGGAGAGTCAAGTGCATTTTCAAAGTATTTTTTAATAAATTGGAAATATTTCTCAGTCCCAGATTCATGTCTTATCAACATTGTTGGAATGACTGGCGTTCACTGAGATAATAAATGATGAAAAAAGTGGCGTCAGGATGCAACTTTCTTTCCCTTCCATACTTTGTACATTAAAGCTTCTATTCAAGCAAGAATCTTACTACTATTCATACTTGTACAGGGATTTGACTTAAAACTGCAATTTCACTTTTTATTGGCATGGATGAATTACAAACAGAAATTTCCAAAAAGGCATCTTTAGACGCATCATTGGAAATGACCTTCTTTTATTGTTTCCTTCAAAATGACAGCATGCCAGGAAGAATAATTTCACAGTATGTTTAGTGCCATTATTATCTTTAAACCAAACTTTTCAACAATAATTTTGTCAGTTACTTTTAAAGGAAGGGGGAAATTTGTGCCTTTGTTCGAAACAAGATACCTGGAACTGTCTAAAATTCAACCAGAGTACACACTTACTGAAAATCTTTGTCTCCTGTTAAAAAAGACGAAAAATTTAAGTACGAAATATCTGTCAAAAATGAGCAAATCTACGGACAGCAGAAACGAAAAAAAACACAACACTGAAAATGAGCAACTTCAGGATAGGCGTCCAATTTTTTTTTGGTTTTGTTTAAATTTCATTTCAGCAGTTTAAGGTTTGATATTTGCGAAGCAATGTTATTTAATTGCACAGCTGGTTTGGTCAGAATGAACAACAAACAAATCTTACTGCCAAGCGGCTATGAATAATTCTTGTGTACACAAAACCCCCAAGACCACACACCGCTTCATATGTTTTATGAATAGTTGCATTATTCATTATCTAACAAAAAAATCCCCAGAAATTTTTAATAAATTGAGTATATTTAAGTTGCTGTTTAAATATAACCTGTTAGTTCACTTTAAACCTTTCTTGTTTTCCATCGGGGGACAAATTGCTCTCGTTACAAGATGTTTTATATTTACAATTCCTATTTTCTTAAGAATGACAAATGAAATAACTCGGAACGATAATTGCACCAACAGTGCATTGACTGTCGAAAGACAAGATGCAAGCTTTTGAATAACAATGTACTTGGCTTGTTTTGAATTACAAATCTGCCTTGAAGTCATCAACAACCCGAGAAACTAATCCTACTACTACAAATCCTTGACGATGACTTTATTCTGACTAGCATCTTCGATCTCTTACCCGTGCAGTGCTTGCGTGAATCTGTTTGTTGATCTGATGAATAGTTAATATTAAATGTTGCCTTCCAGCAAGGATTGTCTTCCGATGAACTTTAGGTGTTATGTTAAAAATGGTTCACTATTTTTATCTGTTTACAAAACGGTCGGACTCGCTTGTATTGCTCTGTAGCCTGGCTTCGATTTCACAAATAGTAATTGATGTTAAATCTTAATACACCAATAAAAAGGTGGAATTAGGGTATAAAATCGAATGGAAACATGAAGACTAGTGCAGTCAAACCTTGAAGGGGGAGGGGGAGGGTATCTGGGAATGACTCATTCTCCAGAAGGGGTATTTGAGGGGTTTTAAGAATAAAAGGCAAAGTTTTGCCGTTTCTAAATTACCAGTGGTGGTTGTTGGGGCACACACCTTTAAGAGGGAGGGGGGGGGGGCAACAGTATTTTTTTGGGGGTGGGGAAGGGTAGTGGGTACCCCCAGTGTTCCCCCTTAGTTGCACCACTACAAAGATTCCTGTATTTCTTAAATTCTGAACCAACCACAACATAATAGTTGAGAGAAAACTATGCCCTGGCAGAATTGCAAGGATCTGAGAAACAGCTGCAAATGATTGTGTATTTTTAGGAAAATGAATTGCGTGGGAAAATGATTTGCGTCAGGACTGAACATTTTTAGAATGGTCTACAAGAGGTGTCAGATTGTGCTAGAGGTTTGTGGGGTTTATAGAAATCAGGATATTTACAACTGTAATATTTCTCTTCAATAATTTAGTAATTGACAATGAAATCGCTTTTAACTTAATATAATAGTCATGTTACTCCAAAACATCAAAGCAATGTATTTTATGATCTGTGGGTAATTAGATTGCTGGCCACTTACATATTTTAAACAGATTACCATCCCAACCACTATTTAAAATATATTGCCTGTGAATGATTTATGGCCAAATTTTGTTTATTATGGAAATTTGCAAAGAAATAATTTCTTTATATTTGTGATGCAGTATGTCAAAATCTGGCAAGAAGTCACTTTTGAGTTATTGCAATATTAGTTAAATCTAGACCTTGCTCTTTCTTGGATATTCCAATTTTTTTAATCGGACTGTGTGATATGTTATAAATATGAGAAATAGGCTTGTAAAGGTGGAGTTTAGTGGAAAACATACTTTGTCAATGAAATTTCAGTTTGAAACTTCTACAGAACATTTTAGACATTTGTAGCATCACAAATTTAAAAAAAAAATCCTCAAAATTGCTGAAAATCACCCAAGTGTCATTTTGCGGCTGTTTCTTCATTCGTAGCTTTGCCCAATTCTGCCTGGTTTTGACATACCGGTACCAAATCACATTTTATGCAATACTCTAAGATTTACTAAGGGATATATCCTCCTTAACAGTTCCCAAAATATTGGGTTGCCGTCTATTAATATCATCTTCAAAAATATTAGTAAGAAAATTGAGTGTTGTTTTATAGAGCTTTATATCAATGTCTCAGAGTGCATCACAGTTATTACCCCTGTGCATCAGGCCATGAGACCAGTTTTTGCACTCAGCTTGAGATCAGCACAACTAGTCTCCACTCTAACAGTTACCCATTTATACACCTGGCAGAGAGAGGCAATTGTGGTATTTGACTTGCCCAAGAACACAGAGACCTCAATCCCTATTAGGGTTTGAATCCATGTACAATCACAAATAGAGTCAGACACCGTACCCATTGGACCAGGGCAGTCTCCCCTAGGCTTCGAAACCACTTTACTCCTCCATCCGTCCCCTTCTCACAACAACTAAGGTGAAGTGTCTTGCCCAAGAACACAAACACGTCAATCTTTATTAAGATTTGAATCCATGTACCATCACAAATGAGTCAGACACCGTAACCACTGGACCAGGGCAGTCTCACCTAGGCCTCGAAACCCCACTTTACTCCTCTATCCTTCCCCTTCTCACAACTATTGTGGTAAAATGTCTTGCCCAAAAACACAAACATGTCAATCTTTATCACGATTTGAATCCATGTACCATCACAAATGAGTCAGACACCGTACCCACTGGACCAGGGCAGTCTCACCTAGGCCTCGAAACCCCGCTTTACTCCTCTATCCTTCCCCTTCTCACAACTACTGTGGTAAAATGTCTTGCCAAAGAACACAAACATGTCAATCTTTATTACGATTTGAATCCATGTACCATCACAAATGAGTCAGACACCATAACCATTGGACCGGTCTCCCCTAGGCTTCGAAACCGCTATACTCCTCTATCCTTCCACTTCTCACAACAATTGAGGTGAAGTGTCTTGCCCAAGAACACAAACACGTCAATCTTTATTACGATTTGAATCCATGTACCATCACAAATGAGTCAGACACCATAACCATTGGACCGGTCTCCTGTAGGCTTCGAAACAACACAATGAGGTGAAGTGTCTTGCCCAAGAACACAAACACCTCAATCTTTATTACGATTTGAATTCATGTACCATCACAAATGAGTCAGACACCATAACCAGACACCATAATGGACCAAAGAGTCTCACCTAGGTTTCAAAACCGCTTTACTCCTCCAACCTTCCCTTTCTCACAACTTTCTTCATGACATTATACCCCCTTCAACATCCCCCAATCCCTATTTACTCGGGCGTCTATTCTTTCGATTCTTTCAGATTCTTGGCTAGATTGACTCAGCTGTGACAACTATTCTGCAGGTGTTTTCAGTAGTTGAGTTACGGTCCAAGCCTGGATATTTCCATTCATTGATGATATATGAATCCCAAAGCTCAAAGCAATTCGATCAGCTGACTGTCTGTTGAGTCCGCACATCATCTGCATTTGTGTATGCAGGGTTGTTTGATTCAAATAATTTGATTTAAATCAGGATTTAAATCAGTGGATTTTTTTTTTTAAATCATTCAAAAAAATATCAAATGACAGGTTAGGCCAAAAAAAAAAAATTCGGTCTCTGGTCAGACCAAAGTTCCGGAATTGACGCGGCCACGCGGCTTTTTTTTTTTTTTCTTCAAGCTTGGATTGTACAGACAAGGTGGGTACTATTTTGCTTTTTTGGTGTCCTCATACACATTGGTGTCCTCCATAATTTGCCTTGGTGCTTTCGATCATTTGCCTTGGTGCAATTTCCCATTCCTTGGTGCTCTTTGGTAAAAAAAATTGAGGAGGTGCGGAAATAGAGGGCGCTGTTGGAGCTACCGCAGAACATTTTGGAAAAAAAAAAGATCGACGCGCATGATTAAAATCGACGCGCGCGCTGACCAGAGACCGACTTATTTTTTTTTTTGGCCTAACAGTTAAAAAATCACATGATACACTTGTAGATAAGAGCTTTTAAAGAATTTCAACCCAATTTTAATACACTGATGTTATCATTCCACCCAGTATACTCTCGTGGCAGTTGATATGTTCTGGTTGGCTATACCATGGATGCAAGGCACGTTACATATTTCTCAAGAGTGTTTAAAGAGGTTGTGGAATGCTCGAAGACATTTCCGTCATTTTTTGGGTATATGTAGCCCAAGGTGTGATGAAATAAAAACGACTATTGTTTCTGTCATGAAATGAGTGCAAAGGGTACTTTTGAGAGCTATTTTTCAGGTCCTGTTTCGACCAGAACGTGCAATTTGTGTAAAAGTCGTCGTTGCGGGCAGCAAACAAAACACAGTAAATCGTGACGTAATAAACAGGACTCGTTTATGCTACTCTGCATCGGGAGTCCTGTTTATTACGTCACGATTTACTGTGTTTTGTTTGCTGCCCGCAACGACGACTTTTACACAAATTGCACGTTCTGGTCGAAACAGGCATGACAGGACTTGAAAAACAGCTCTCAAAAGTACCTTTTGTACTCATTTTATGACAGAAACAATAGTCGTTTTTATTTCATCACACCTTAGGCTACATATACCCGAAAAATGACGGAAATGTCTTCGAGCATTCCACAACCTCTTTAAAGAAGTAGAGTCCAGACAGTACATCATTGATAACTCTCTGTACTGATGACATCACACTTTGTTTACGTGTGCGCCTTTCTATGGGGCTACAAAACCTTCATCCCTACCAGACTCCAATAAGGAAGCACACATGTAAAACAAAGTGTGACGTCATCAGTACAGAGGCTTATTACAATGTAATAATGTACAATCAACAAACTTTGTTGTTTGAACAGAAATAACGCTTAAACAGATGACAAACGTGTCTTCCATAGTGGGTTCACTCATGTTCAGTGTTCATAATTTCATAAATCTCACGAATAAAGTTAAGCTAATGAGTTGGTTACTTTCTCTCTTTTTCAGGAACAGATAATTTATAAAACTAAAAAATGTTTTGGGAGTTTTAAAAGGAAAAGTGCAATGCCAAATGAATAGAGTTTCCCAGATGGATGTTGAATAATATATGTGTTGAATAAAGCTTTGTTGATAACACTAAAAATATTTTTTTAAAAATGATTAAAATACAAAAAAAATCTGATTTAAATAAATAAAATCCGATTTTTTTTTTTAAAACCATTATACACCCAGGATTTTTAACAACCCTGGGTGTATGTAGAGTAAACAAAAAGGCAGTTGAGAATCAGTTTATATCATTAATAAGGGAATAAATATGAGCTTGGCCCGGCCCGATTTTAAACGTATAACTTTTAGAACCGGTTTTAAACGTACTTTTTTAATACCAGTCAAGCACCTAATTGATCCCCTCCGTAAATACCTTTCGGTCAAAAATTCAGAACAAGTCAAAAATTATAAATTTCTAGTGAGTTTGCTCAACAGTTTTACTTATGTTTTGTGAAACACTCCTCTAGCTATGTTTATGATATGTGCCTCACGCAAGTAGTACTAAACATTTCCTTATATGGAGATTGGCGCGCGCATGGCACGTACTGCGTGAAGAACGCAGCTGTGCCAAATTTTTTTTTTTAAAACCAGTCAATGTTTTATCAACCGTTTAAAACCACCAAAGTGACTTTCTTAGGTATTTATGAAAATCTAATTATATTTAGAAAATGAAAGAAAAAGAAGGATCCCCTGGGTTGTATATTGAATCAGACAGAAAGACATGTGAAAACCAACTCCTTTTGTTAAAATATAAAAATTCCAAACTTACAACAATATACAAATTCATAAATAAATTTGAAAACATACTGCAGATAAATCTCCCTTCAACATAATACCCAGTTCATAAAATGACACTGTACAAAAAAAAATTCCTCTGATTTACTAATTATACATTTTCAAGATATTTGCAATGTTAAATGCAGAACTACTATTGACCGAAAACATTCAATTGTCTTATTGAATACATATTGATTTTACACATTGAATAAATGTGCAAGCTTTCAGCAAAACAATATAGAAATATCAACAGAATCTAAGTCCAACATAGCATATAATATTCTTGGAACGGATTGCATACAAACTCCATTCAAAATGCACACTTCTCAACTTGGGTACAATAAGAAAAATTTCCTTTTGCTATTTCATCCATTTGGCAAATATTTGAAGTGTTCACTTACCGAGTCATACCAGCACTGCACGCTGTTGTTGGCACATTCACAACCATCACTGGCACAATCTCCATTTGTGCAAGTACACATCTGAATGAAACGGAAATCAGAAAGGAACGATTACTGTTCATTTCTGAAAGAACAAAAATGTCTCAAAAGACAAAAGTCGCATTGAAAGTTTCAAAAAGCAATTAATTATTAACAGGTATTGTGATTTTGGACCAAAATCTGAGTGAGGTTGGTGGATGAACTCCACTCTTTAGCAATTGCTGGGGAAAATTTGTCGAAAATCGAAATTTATGTAACGGGTTGACTTGAGTCGTTCCTAATGCTGTTTGGTTCAGCATGACTCAGAAAAGCCAGTCTGAACAAGATTGTTTTCTTTTACACTGCTATTCATTAATCTGTATCCAAAGTGTGAGATTTGAAATTGTGCAAATGGAAAGTTCAAGTTTAGTGCATCACAAGTGCATCACAAGTGCAACACAAGTCCATCACAAGTCCATCACAAGTCCATCGCAAGTCCATCACAAGTCCATCACAAGTCCATCACAAGTCCATCACAAGTCCGTCACAAGTCCATCACAAGTCCAGTCACAAGTCCATCACAAGTCCATCACAGGTCCATCACAGGTCCATCACAAGTCCATCACAAGTCCTCCAGTCCCAAGTCAAGTCAGAAGCTATTCAGCTGAACGGTGACAAAGGCATTTCTTTGTTACTCTTCTCAACTGTTACATGTGACTGGACTTGCGAATTGACTTGTGATTTACTTGCGACCACACTCAACTAAAGCACTGCAACCTACCGGTGGATTTTTGATGCTGTGGTTGATATTGAGCGGTTTCGTCTCACAGCTCTTGGCGACGTAATGGAAATCGGTTGGTATGGGATCGTCATTGACAGCGTTGACGACGGTGATGGGAAGTGCTTCCAGACCACGAGCTATGTCACTGGAAAGAAAAATAGGAAAAATGGGAAGTCATTGGAAAAGTCAGTGGAAAAGTGATGGGAAAAAAGGGAAAATTTACAGCTCTTGGGAACATAATGGAAGTCAGTTGGCATGGGATTGTCATTGATGATTGAAGACAGTGATAGGGAGTACTTCCCGACCACGAGTTATATCACTAGGAGAAATGGGATAAATGGGAAGTCATAGGAAAAGTGGTGGACTAAAATGGAAAAAAAAAAACAAGTGGGAAAAGTGGGAATAGTGGAACTGGTGGAAAACTGTCGGAAAACTTCATTGACAGTGAAGGAAAGGCCATGAGCTATGTCACAGGGCAAAATAGAAAGTAAGTGGAAAAGAGGTGGGGAAAATATGGGGAAAAATAGGAAAAAAATGGGAATTCATTGGAAATGTGGGGGGGGGGGGGATTTACAGCAATGACAGCATTTAGGACAGTGATGGGAAGGGCTTCCAGAACATGAACTATGTCACTGGGGAAAAGATAGGAAAATGTGGGAAGTCATTAGAAAGGTGTTGGGAAAATATGGGAAAATATGGAAAAAGGAGGAAAAGTGGGAAACATGAAATGGCAAAAAAAAAAAACTGTGTAAACTTTTTTCGGCTGATTCTTACCGACTGATGATCTTTTCGGTCCTGATTGCTCGATTACCGGTCGCCAGTTTCATCTTCTCGTTGACCTGTAGAGCGAGGGCGACGTCAGAGTTGGGCTTAGCACAATCTAACGGCGTCTCTTCTTCTTGGTTGGTCACTGCAATGTTGGCGTTGCGTAGAAGCAGCATGCTAAGTAAGGAGAACAAAAAACGCATCTTGCTTCACACAATGGAAATCGTTACAAGATTCAGTTCAAAAGGAAGGGAAGTATTTCAATTTGACTTTATAGTCCAAATTTATGGGACAACAACTTCAACATAATAACTCAACACAAGTGTAGAAAATTGACCAGTCAGATGGTTTATAGGGGAAAAATTAAGACATACTTACGTAACACAGCCATAATTATTCTCTCTGGAGGCAATGTGTCTGAAAAAAAAAAAAAACCAAGAAAAAAAACCCATTTGAAATAATTTATTTGAGCAACATATAAGCTAACTTATCTTTGAATATTTTGTCCTTAAAAAGTCAAACAGGCACTAAATTTAAACATAAAAATACATATTCACAAATTGACCCTACACAAGAACGTCTACCTCAAAGTAGACAATTGCAAAACCCCAACATTTAAATTTGTTTTTGTCGATGTAAACAAAATTTGGACTTGTGGTTCGTGGTCACAGCTTCAAATTCAGCTATATTAACACTAACAGAACTAAACCCATCAAACCCCATGTTTTGTTGGAATCTGTCAGGATGGGTACAGTACCTTTAAACTGACAGTCTTTTACATTGGGTTGGCACACCTCCAGAAACTAAGTCAGAAATACGTGTGTGCAGTTTCCCATATGGTGTTGGAATTTGCCAGGATGGGTATATGGTTCCTAATAAATCATGCTAGGGAGTTAGGGTTAATAAAATAATTGACGGTAAAAACCAGCGGATGTTTTAGGCATGCTGTAAGGGTAAGGGCAGTTTACTGGCTGGACTTACAGCGGTGTGTCTCCATGAATGTTGGGTGCATGCACATCACTGTGTCTGTTGAGAAAGATTTCAGCTACGTCTTCGGTGCCAGAGAAGACGGCCCAGTGAAGACCTGAGTTACCCTCCTGAAGGAAAGAGGTTTAGATGATTGGTTTCAAGATAATCGCAACAAAGCTACACGGTGAACTTATTTATGCAAATAAATCTCTTATAATAATGTTGAAAACAAAGTACATTACTGGATGTGGAATTTATTCTCTCCTAAATCCTAACCCTTCAAGATCCTTCAGAATCTAAAAGGTGTGAATGGGATTTAAGGCGCTAACTTCGCATGGTGTTTGATACCCCTTGAAATTTAAGCACAAAGCAGAGTTTTATGACATTAGCTGACTTGAGACTCGATGATTTGTGATTGACTTGTAATTATGATGACTTGTGAAGACTTGTGAAGACTTGTGATTGACTTGTGATTGATTTGTGATTGACTTGTAATGACTTGTGATTAATTTGTGATTGACTTGTGATGACTCGTGAAGACTTGTGATTGACTTGTGATTGACTTGTGATTGACTTGTGATTGACTTGAGATGGATTTGTGATGGACTTGTAATGACTTGTGATTGACTTGTGATTGACTTGTGATGACTTGTATTGACTTGTGATTGACTTGTAATGACTTATGATTGACTTGTAATGACTTGTGTTGACGTGATGACTTATGTTGACTTGTGATTGACTTGTGTTGACATGTGATGACATGTGATGACTTGTGATTGACTTGTGATTGACTTGTGCAAGGGTGTGAGTGACCACTGATAAAAATAGCTGAAAACAGCTGAAAAAGGAGTAAAAAAGCTGAATTTTGGAAATCTCCTATGCTTTTGTACACAGCAAGTGAGGGAAAAATGCTGAAATCCAAAAGAAAAAGAGCTGAAATCAGCTTTAAAGCTGAGATTTCACACCTCTGCTTGTGACTGCCTTGTAATTGACTTGTGATAACTTGTGATGAATTGCAATGAACTCCATTGCAAATCTGGTACAAAAATTGTGCCAGAAATGTCCTGCAAAAGTGGACGATTTTGGAGGATTCAGGAAAGTTCCTATTGACCATGTCTAGGGCGTTAGGGTCAAAGGTCAAGATTGCAAGCATACCTTGTCTCGGATGTTGGGATCAGCCCCTCGTTCAATCAGATACTTGACGACAGGTATGTGTTTATACTCAGCAGCCCAGATGATTGGTGTCCAACCGCCATCGTCCTGCCCAGCAGACAATCAAATAGAAGGAAAAGGTCATCAAAATCATGCCAATCGTAATTAGTTGTTACAATTAAACTGAAGTAATCACAATGACAATACATTTGCTTGGCAAATATACCTCTAGTGAAGTTATAAAATGATTGATCAAATTAATTCCACTTTTTGCTACGAATGTTGAATTTATAGGACATTAGTACTGGGACGTTTGAGGTACTTGCTAGATTCTGATTGAGTGATGTGATGTAAACTAAGGTAGTTCAAGACAGTGTCGTAACTGAAAAAGAACAGAAGACTACCTTTGATGGAAGTTTAGTTTCTTTGAATTGGGTACTGCAATCTGAATTCTGCAAAACCTCAAGTAACTTGTTCAGTCAAGAGAAAAACAAATTATTCTTCTTGGAGAGAATGAAAACCCCAGTGACAAATTGTGGAAATCATGAAATTTCAGTAGAAACTGATTTTTTTCCAGACAATGCATCCGGTGAGGTTTAAACCCGGATCTTGGGGATCCCTAGAGATGTGCGTTGACATACCTGAGCATTAGAGTAGATTTTCCTGAGACTCATGATGAATTTGACTGCTTCAAAATTGCCATTCTTAGCTGCAAGGTGTAAGATGGTCATTCCTTCATCGTCCTGTACAAAGACATAGCAACTGATAGTCAGAGTAATGTACTGATAGAAGTGTTCTCCAACTTCGAAAATATAAAGGTCGGAGCTCTGTCAAAAAGCGGAGGGGGGAGTGTATATGCTGGGGGCGCTATTTACAGACACCTTTATGCTAGGGGGCGCTATTTGCAGATGAACATGTAATTTACGTATGGATAACAGCTTTTAGGCCATTTTTAACAGTTAAGTACAATACTGGCTCAGGATCATTTTTTCCCTTAATACATCAGTGACCAGGGACTCTGAGGCAGTTTGGCCTTGAGACTTTTGACCTGAAGGATTGCCACAATGGGCAGGCTTTTCAGTTTGACAAGTGTTGCACGCTACTGCTTTTGACAGTTTCTAGCCAAAATATACCCTGGAGGGTAAGGTTAGCCCCACTTGAAAGCATAGTGGCAACTTTTGAAGCATGGGGGGTACCTCAGAAAGCACAGCAGGGCACCAGAGTATTTTTACAAGTTGGAGAACACTGTAGATAGGCCTTGTTCTTGAACGAATTGTTGCTACAATTCAAAATTTCAAATTTTTACAATCTTTAATTTTAAGTTTTAAGAAAAGGTACTAAAATGTTTTAAGAACAGGATATTTCTAGTGTTTGTAACTAGAAAATGGTATCTTTGCGGCGCGCTCATTCGCTAAAAAAATGGCCTGGAAGGTATTTTATTTATTTATAAAGTTTGTAAAGTTTCAAAATGTTGGTTAGTGCGGTGGTAAAACGTATCATTTTTGTTATAAAATGAGAGATCATCGTTACCTTGTGCTGTACAACAGCACCGTGCTTGATCAGGTATCGCATGGAGTCATTATGGCCATTCTCAACTGCCATGTGCTGTCATAAAAAAAATAAATGACATTGGTGATCAATAAATTAACACTAAAATCAAACTATCAACAACCCAGCAAAAACACACAAACACAACCCAAAGTAACCCATCTATACCCACACAAGTCATAGCCAAATCGAGTCAGCAGCCCAGTTTAACCCAGCCCAACCTCGCTACTAATCCACGACTCTATATCCATTCCAATGGTGTTTTATGATCTTCGTCATCAACTTCCCAACGAGCCTGAACTGACCAAACCCAACCTGAAGTAACCCCATCTACACCCCCACCGTTTATAGCAAAGCCAAGTCAATTACCCAGTTTAGCTCAGCCGAACCCAGCTATAAAAGTGTTTTATGATCCTCATCCTTGGCTTCCGACCAAGCCTGATCCGACCTAACCCAACCCAACTAGCCCATCTATACCCACAACGGCTATAGCCAAATCAAGTCTATCCCAACCCAGCTCTCTACCCTCATGACCCTATGCATACCAGTGGTGTTTTATGATCTTCATCTTCAGCTTCCATATTAGCCCCGGCCTGTAGCAGCATTACAATAATCTCCAAATGACCCGCTGCAGCAGCGGGATGTAAAGCAGTCTCCTGATTGTGGGCGGGGAAGCGATAATTTGGGTCAAAACCTTCCGCTGTAACAAAAAACGAAAGAATTGTTTCATTTTCTGGGATTTTAATAATGCTTGATAAATCTGTTCAAGGTTAGGGGCCAAGGTTTACAGGGACCAAAATTTAACAGGTGGATGCAATCAAGAGGTGGCACAATGGAAAGGTGACCACCATAATGGACAGGTGGCCAAAATGGGCAGGTGGCCAAAATGGGCAGGTGGCCAAAATGGACAGGTGGCCAAAATGGACAGGTGGCCAAAATGGACATCTGGCCAAAATAGAAATCTGGCCAAAATGGACATCTGGCCAAAATAGACGTGTGGCCACAATGAACAGGTGGATGGCTATAATGAACAGGTGGCCACGATGAACAGGTGACAACGATGAACAGGTGGCCATAATGGACATCTGGCCAAAAAGCCAAAGTGGCCACAATGGACAGGTGGTCACAATGGAAAAGTGGCCAGAATGAACAGGTTGTCACAATGAACAGGTGTCCAAAACAGACATGTGGCCAAAATGGACAGGTGGCCACAATGAACAGGTGGATGGCTAAATGGACAGGTGGCCACAATAAACAGGTGGCCACAATGAACACATGGCCACGATGAACAGGTGGCCACAATGAACAGGTGGATGGCTAAATGGACAGGTGACCACATTGAACAGGTGGCCACAATGAACAGGTGGCCATAATGGACAGATGGCCAAAAAGCCAAATTGGCCAAAATGGACAGGAGGCCACAAAGAAACCGGTAAACCGAAAGTAATTTTCCCCCTTTATCATCTCACCAAGCATCTGGAGTACTTTGCCCATTTCTCCTTGTGCGGCTGCTGCGTACATACTCTTGGGGATGAAACGGCTTCGTTTTGGCCTGCACAGAAACAAACACACCCTGAGTGAATACACAATAGCGATGGTGACAAAATACTGATTCAAATGAATAAATACCAATTTAAGTAACAAGAAGTACAAACTCTGACAACTTACCACTAAAATAGAGAAGATTTCTGCAGACAAGCCAATGCCTAGAAATAATTATGTTTACTATCCTTGCTAAGTGTCAAGGAATGATATTCAAAATTTGACACACAAAAAACGAAGTTTTGCTATAAACTTACGAATCTGCATTGAGATATTCCATGACTGCCTCTAGCACATCCCGTTTGGGTCCGGGTGGTAATGGCTCTGGTAAGGACAACAGACGATACCCAATCAACTATTACCAACGGTTGATATATAAGACATGACAATGCAATGATCACTTTATTGATTAGGCCAAAAAAAAAAAGTCTACGGTTTCTGGTATGCGCGCACGTCGCCGTAGCCATGCGCGTCGGCAAAATGAAAATGTTTTTTTTTCAATACAAGATGATGTTTCAAAACCGCCAAACTCACTGGTTTGACTGGAATTCTGCTGCTGCACAATTTGAACGTGTTTTTAGATGGGGTTATGATCGAGAATAAGATTTATGTGGCCTCTCTGGACTCCCATATATTTGCACTAAGTTTAGTCGGACACCATTTGCAGTCATCAGCCGACATTTGAAGCCAAAAAAAAAACAAAAACAGGTAACTGTTTTGGGGCAAGCTCCATACCAGAAACCGGAGACTTTTTTTTTTGGCCTTAAAGACTGATGTAGCGGATTTAACAATTATTTAAGGATATTTTAGATAGAGATTGCTCGAGCTGACACATATGACCAACAGAAATCACCACCATAGAAGACAGAAAATAGCAAAGAAAAAAAAGCAAAAACAGATTTGTGGGAAGATGAACATAAAGCCCACTGCACACCTTTCCGATTTTACCAGTTCATTGGATCATCGGTTCACCGGTACGTTTTTTCCCCTCTGTTGCGGAGACCACAACGTTATGACTAATTCCGCTTGTAATCAGTCACATGATGACCAGTCACATCAATTTTTAATCATGTGACTTCCTTCATGAAACTGATTGGTGAAATCAGAGTGCTGCCAGCACACCTTTCCGGTGACGTCAAATCAGAAAGGTTTGCGGCCGGCTTAAGATACATGAATTTGCCTGGAATAAATCTAATGGTGCAGACACAACTACCGCAGCAACGCTGGTGTTGTCTTACTCTGTTCCCAAGAGCTTCTGTCTTTTCCCCCCCCCCCCCCCCCCCCCCCCCCCCCCGAGTACAGAAATGTTTGAGAAGTAGATCCATGACATTCTACAAAAAAAGATTTGACTGAGAAATAATGGGAAAAGAAGCAGATAAATTGGCTCACTTGAGGTCAGGGTTGTTCCCGATTTCAACGTCATGCTCTTAGAGGGTAGGTCTGCATAGCCTTCCTCTTCTGTCAGTGGCTCAGGTTTGTCCATCTTGGTAATGCTCATTTTAGCTCTGAAAAAAAATAATACACGATGAAAAGATGAAATCCTAAAATGTTGTCTGGTGGAAATTACCAGTTGGTATCAGTTACAAAGAAATGACTGGAATATACAATGTCATTATCAGTACATGTACATCTACATTTTGGCCATACTATTTTACCAATAAGGAGCATTTGTTTCTGTACTGCAGATTTACTGTGATTTCAATGATGATGGAATCATCAAATCTTGATTTTGACACAAGATTTGGAGACAATATTCTTTCGCTCTTACCTTGGTCCATGTTCGGCAGATTCCTTCTCCCCGTTTTCCTTCACCTCCGTTTCTACTGATTTTTCATCGTCACGGCAACCGGTCAGTTTCCCAAGCAACGACTTCGGCAACCTGACCACGCCGCTGAGGATCATAGACTTTGGTATCTTGCGTAGCGTGGCCATGTTCCCGTTGGACGGGATGGAGATTTCGCGTAGTCCCGCGGTGTTGCCACAGTGTGGACAATAGAGGGCGCCAGCTAGGTCCATGATGCACTCTCGATGGAAGTGGTGGGATTTCTTGTCGTCTCCTTCTGGGTTGCACACCACTACCACTCCCTTAACATGGTAAGAAAAAAAATGTGACAATAATCGATCTTGTAATATTCCGATTGCTTTGTGGTAACTATTTTGGCGATTCAACACAAATTACGTAGATCGGTTCTCAATTAAGACAGATGTGTGTGGTTCCTTGATTGTGGCTGTTTCATGTACATTTTCAAAGAATTGGTATAAACCAATATTGTACATTCAAGAAATCTTTAAAAAGTGGCAATGAAACAATTTTCCAATTCCTGACAGAGTTAAGTGAAGTGTCATGATAGATGCAAGAACATTCCTACAAAGTTAATGTTAAATATAAAACATTTGCTCTTGCTGTAATTTTCAGAAATGAATGGATTTTGGGGCAAGTATTTTACAGTAAATATTGTTACATTGACCTGTTTAAAGTTTGTGTTCGTAGATGATGGAAAAACCAAGAACAAAATGCTGTTTTTTAGTCTGGTTCCTTGACCCTTCTTCAGATGAAACGGAGCAATTTATAGATGTCTGGGAATTGTCAGGTCCTGGAACCAGACTAGCTGGCTTGCACCCGTTCACAGATGTATAACTATTTGCAAGCATAATGTGGACTAACCACATTTGGTAAATTCGGGGCAGTATTTGAAACATAAAGTTTCCACATTTCTTGAAAATGATAGCACACCAGGTGCCATGATTTCACAGGATGCTTGAGACTATTATTCACTTAAAGTCAAGTAAGGTATTTCATAATAATTTAATATTTTTTTTTTTTGATGTTGCAAATGTTGTATATTACCTTTTAAGGTTATTTTCTCAAAATTTCCATTCAACAGTTTGGTGTCTCAAACTGAGGGATCTTTTGTTCTTTACCAAAATAAAAGCTTATTTACATTACAAATAAAACAAGTTAATTAATTTTACTATCATGATTCTTGTATCATCATTAGTTATCTAAGGGATAAGTTTCAGTAAAAATATTTAAATTTCTCACCGTTGTACAAAAGCAGCCACATCCTGGGCAGCACTTGTGTTCAGTCATCAGTGTTCTGAAATAACAATTACTTGTGAAGGTCAAATACAATTGCTTGTTATGGTCAAGTAGTTGCATCTGTGGTGGCAAATGATCCGTATCTTAATTACAGTCGACTCTCGTTATAACAAACTCGTTCGGACCTAGCCAAATTGTTTGTTATATCAGAATTTTGTATTAAGAGGAACATCAGTCCCATTCATTGTGCACATAAATGCACAGTCGGGACCAAGGCTTTATGTTTGTTATAACCAAAATTTTGTATTAACAGAGTTTGTACTAACGAGAGTCGACTGTAATACTAACAGCAGTTTGGATAACAATGGCTCCAGCGCAAAACAGGTGACTCTAACAATAATAATTGAAAATATGTATGCGCGGACCTTCAGGTTTTGGGCAGCTTGATAATTTCAACTAGCACCATTTTGGCGTTACTTTTTTGTATTTAAATTATACATTTGCTAATGTGTCTACTGGCAATGCACAAGAAAATGGGTTAAGTACTTGGTACTTGTTAGTATGAAAAGGTATCTTATAGGTATGCTGAAATTATCTTGGCAAAAACACTGCTTTACCAAAGTTTTGAAAACGTGTCTTTGGTGCGATAGTGCCATAGATCTCGGCAAAAAAAAAATATTTCGAGACTGGGTACCCACTAAGCCTGACTGATCTGACCTAACCCAACCAGAAGTAGCCCATCTACACCCACATCTGTTATTGCTAAACCAATTCAATTACCTAGTTAAGCCTAGCCAAACCTAGCTATCAATCCACATGACTCTACATCCATACCAATGGTGTTTTATGATCTTGGGTAGCTGTTACCATACAAAGGTACGCAACCATATTTTACCAAGGTTTTGGCAATGGTTATGCAGTTCGTGTCCAAAATTGCCACTTGTATCCACACGAAATGAGCACTGTGGTTTTATTCAATTAGACTGCTATTGCGACTGCTTACCGATGGTCCGAGCAGAAGGCGCCGTACGGAACCCTGGAGGATGGACGATGTAACTTGCCTGTGTTGATCTTATTCTTACACTCGACCAACTGAAACAAAAATACAAAATAACGATGACTTTTAAGGTGATACTGCCCAAAGTGGCACATGAAAAGGTATGGAGGTTACCAGGAAATGGTTCATAAGGTAAATTCCCTATGGTCAACCAGAAGAATGCATATCTTACATCATGGTGAAAGATAGAAAGAGTCAGAAACGCAGTTTTTGGTTCAAAGTATAAATCACTTATCATTCATGAATCCACATTGGCCTAAGATGTAATGATGTCATGCTTTGTTTACTTGTATGTTTTACTTTGGGAGCTACATGTAGGTGGAACAAGGGGACATTGTCCTACATTTCAGGCCTATTGAGCTGAACAATTCTTGGTACTTCTAGAGGACTCTTCTACAGGGTTTCTCCTTGCAGACAAACCTTCATTAAAGTCAGGACTCTGATGAAAACCACTGAAAACTGGGCCAAATGACACGGAACTGTGAAGGGGAATTGTTTGCTGAGGATTTTTAGGTACTAAGCACAAAACAGCTGGGAACCAGCCGCCAGCAATATATGTTGCATGACATTTTGGCTGGTAACCGGTATCTGCTAAGCACATATCTTCCCTGCTTAGCAAGTATCAGTGGTAAGTAGTGCCATGACATTGGCTATAACTATAAAGTCAATTCACTTTGGCTTTGCAATCGAACCAGGGACCCAGTGTTCAAGGAAGTACCAATGTGACAATCTGATTAACCATTACAATCTCGACTCAACTACGTGGAGCTGCTTAAAGGGCTCACATGCAATGTAATTTTGTTTAATGCAATCCTCGAAAATGCACCTTTGTGTCCCATTTAAACTTATTTTAAAGTTTCGTTTTTGCCATGTTCAAGGGTATTTTGGTGCCTTTTTGGTTTTTATGCTAATGCAAATTTCCATATTCAAGTGCACAGGTGTGATGTCAGGCAGAAACCTCAATGTTACAGATATTTCAGCACCAAAAGTTGCCAGAATTTTGGATATTTTGCCATCGTGATTTTTCTTTTCTTTGGTGATTCATTGTTGTGTCAGTACATGGCAGTAAGCCGATGAGCAAACTTTTCTCACAAATGTTTTCAATGAGCAAATATTTTGGTTCACAATTTGAACAGAAAACCCCTAAACTGAACAGTGTCTTCCTGAAATGGCATCACAGCAACAGCACCCTCAGTTGTCCGGAAAACCACGGAAATTTATAAAACGTTTAAAGAAGTGCACTTTTCAATAAAATTAACCATAAAAGGGATGTCAAAGTTACACACAATGTGTTCCTAAGAAAAGTTCACGGACCTTTTATCAGAAAAATATTGATTACCAAATTGATGTGATAAGCAAGAATCAGATGAGAACCACTTTATAAGCCATATACATCTCATTGGATTTTAGATGGTAACCCTTCTTGTTTTTGCTTACCAAATATTAATGGTAAGCAATTTGACCTACCTCGCTATCAATGACTTCCAATGCTCGACAAGTTGATAGGATGATAGACGAAGGACCTTTCTGCTCCATACGGCAACAACAAAGAGGTAGCTCAGACTAACCAAGACAATGAGAGGTAATACATAATTTATCAGTTGAAAACTGATAAGCAGGGTTCGAACCTACTACGACCAGAATGCCATCTATGTACTACCATCTAAGCTATACTGACCTTTAACGGCAGTCTCCCAGATTGCCATCGTTTTGATCCATAGAGTTAATCAATAAAATGGACTGAAGCAGAGTTCGATTGCCACCAAGAGAACACCACATCAATGAACTACCATTTGAGACATTCTTGCCTCTGTTGGCAGTTTTACCAATTTGCCAAGGAAGTAAGATAATTTGGTACAAGGTTATTAAAGGGAATGTACAACATTTTTCTGTGCTGCAATTTTCACAAATAAATGGATTTGGAAGATTAGTATGTTAATGCAAATATTGTTAAACTGACTTGTTTCACGCTTTGGGCTTGTAGATGCTGGAAAAACCAAGAAAACCAGTCATGTTCTTGTAGTCTGGCTTCCTGACCTCACTTAAGATGAAACGGAGCAATTTATAGACTTTGGGGAATTGTAAGGTGAAAGAATCAGTCTAGCAGGCTTGTACCCCTTCACAGATGTGTAATCAATTGCAAAGAAAATGCGGAATAACTAAATATGAAAAATTAGGAGCACTTTTTGAAAAAAAGCCAGTTTTCTCCAACGCTGGTCGGCCGACCAGCGTTGGAAAAATACAGTTTTTCTTGAAAATGTCAGCACACCAGGAGCCACGATTTTACAGGATGCTTTAGACTGTCATTCCCGAACAATTCAGTAAGGTATTTTGTGATAATTTGATTATTTCGTTTTTTGATGTTTGCAAATGTTGTATCTTCCCTTTAAGAATCACTCAAAATCTTTAAGTGAATGAAAATTAAAATGTATAAGAATGTTATATGGTGAGAAATAAAGATATGATTAACGGTTAGCAATGGTTGATACATGGGTGTGCAGAAACTCAGAATGGTATGATCTGTTTATCAGAAATGGTAGAATTCAGCATTTTGGCAAACTATGACGACTTCAGATGGTGTTGAAGTATCAACTTGAAATGTTTTGTCCAATTCCATATTCATGGATGAAACTTATTTATCCGATGGTGTCTCAACGCTAAACCAACTCACCTGAAGATGATGATTGCTACTGTTGTGTTCAACGAGATTTCCTGCAAAAAAAATCAATTTCACAAGGTCCTTCTTTGTTACAAGATCTTGAATAAAATTGACCAACAAAACAACCTGTTATTTACAGTCGAACCCTGATAAGAAGAGCACTGTTAATACAAAAGCATGCTTATAACAAGCAAAATTTTAGGTCCCAAGTCTCTGTTTTTCTTTGTTTCCATTATTGTTAATTCAAGGTACCTGTTATCACAAGAACATCTGTAAAGTCCCAAGGACATTGTTATAAAGGTGTTCCACTGTATCTTACTTTACCAATAGTTACTGGTAACTTCACACTGCCTTAAAATCCAATTTCAGTTGCAAAGTTCACTCTATGTCAATCTTTTTAAGTACTCACGGACCTTCACAGAGCTTGTTTTGTTGTAAAGAAGGTTTAGAATGATAAAATAACATAAAGGCTGGAATTTTTTTTTTTACCCTGAGCCAAGTAGTCAACTTCTGATTCCAAGCTGGCCACTGTGGAGGAACTGCTGGATCTCTTCTTGTTCTGACCCGGCGGTTGGATTTCACTGCCAGCTTCACTCAGGACATCTGTCGAGTCTGTAGGGAAATACCAACACAATGAGTAACATGATATCCAATTATGCAACAGGTGCGTCTTGTTCAATTACCAACAAAAGGTTGAATAAAGAAGTTGACTAGTGAGGGCTTCAAACCTGCAACCGCTGGAATGCAACACCAGAGCTCTACCAACTGTGCTGCACAGGTCTGTGGAGATGGGCTCTTAATTTGTCAATTTCTTCAATCAAAAGAGGGTTAGGTATCTTTTAGTCCATTTTGGCTGGAAGAGCCTTCACTTCTGAATTTGTGTTGCAACTCACCAGAATCATAGCTGTTGAGTTTATTTGCACCTCGTCCAACACGATGTCGCTTCATACCAAAGTGCGTGTGTGTGCGAGGGCGCTTTTTCTTCTTGATGACATCAGATGGGCAGGTCTCTGTTGCCGATGAGTCGGGCGTGGCTGATCCAGCCGCACCCACAGGGAAATCTGCAGCCAGGGCGTGGCGTGGATTGCATGACGACGCGGTGGTGCCTGGTATTGGGGTTGGGTTATCACGATCGGTGGACTGTAGCTCGCCACTAGGGGGCAGTGTTTGGTGCATCGGCTCCGCTGAGGTGATATCGGGAGGTGGTTGGTTATCTAATTCTGGTGTTTCGTCGCTACCACTCATGTCTTGAGCTTCAAGGTCTCTGCTACTGATCAGCTTAGGAGGATCGTCGTCCATGAAAACGTCTTGGTCATCGACTTGAGATGAACCTGGCGATTCCATCACGTTAGTGTCCCTTGCTCCTGATTGTTTCATTTTCTCGACTTGGTCCTCAAATGCGCTGTGACGTATATCAGGGGCCGATTTCTCTAAGCCAGTTTTGGCATCATTTGAGGTATTGGTTTGAGGTGATGATTTGTGCACGAGTGGTTGTGTGTGTCTTTCAGACAAGATTGTATCGGCGTCAACTGGAATACCGGCTTTCATTCCGGGGCGAAATGATGATGTCGTGGCCAAACCAAGCATGATCGCCCGTTGGATGACTGGCGGTATCACCAGCGAGGCGGATTTCAGTTTTTTAGTGACTGGTGAAGTTTCTGCCACGGCAGCGGCATTACGTTTACGACTCTTGTCGAGATCAAAGTTCAGTTTCTTATCTTGATTAGCTGTCCTCTTCCCTGATCTCTGGTTTGCAAATCGAACCTGATGTGGTTTTTTATGTGAGCCCTCTGGATTGGTGGCTTTGTAGGCCGGATTCTTTGGTGTTGGACATGATTTCCGAGCGGTTATATGCCGTTTTGGTGTTTCGGTAGGTTGGTCAGTCGTACTGCCTTTCAACTCCTCATTTGATGGTAAACCATTCTGTACTGGTTCCAGTTTAAGAATAGTCATACTAAATTTTTCGTCAGCAAGCTGTACATCATGGGAATGACTACTGATGTTTTCCCCTTCCACGGGACATGACTTTCGCGCAGCAAAATGTCTCTTCGGCACTTCCCCTTGACTGGACCTGCGAAAATCAAACCTTACTGGCAATGCAGCCCGTTTGCGGGCGTTAAAATGCACTTTTCCTTTCGGCAACGGCAACCGATTGGCATTCGGGCCAGTTTTACGCGCCGTTAGTTTCGATGGAGATTTCATGAGCTGTTTAACCAATTGTGCTTTTTTGCTAGTCGCGGCTGAGGGACCCGTCTTACGTGCAGCTGTTCTGTGCACTGGTTCCCCTGCGTTGCGGACCACTCCTTGCTGCTGTGACATCACTGGCGCTTGTTCGGCATCACCGGCTTCTGTCTTCTTGGACGATGGTTTATCGCCCTGCACTGAGTTCCTAACTCCCCTCTCAACATCACCTTGCCGTGGAGTACGCCATGCATTCTGGGATTCCCGTCCTTTCTGTGACTGACGATCCCTATTCACAAATACTCGCTCCACACCTCTTTGGCCCGAATTTTTAAATGACAAATCCTGGAACTGCTTACGGGTTGACCGCTTTTGAACCGTCTGTATCGGAGGAGATAAAAAGAAACACTTAGGAATTTATACACAATTACAGTTTCCCCCAGTAGCCACTTTTTTTTCCTCAATGGCATGAACACAGAATTTTCCTTTGTACAAAGCTTCCATAACTTTGCGTCCCCTTTCAGTGAGTATACCACAGTGACCTTTGACCTATTTGACCTTAGTTGACCCGAGGTCATTTACTATTTTTTTTTTCTTACTTTCCTATCTTCACCACTCACTCCAACCTCATCAGTACAAAAGATATTACGGTCATCGGCATGCTGTTCTCTGACCTTTGACCCCACATCCTGTGGAGGGAAAGGGGACAAAATAATCAAAAGGAAACGTACGGGGATATTTTTGTTTGTTAATTGGACAGTCTAGCTCTCACATGATATATTACGAGGATAAAACTAATTTTGACCTTGACTGACGAGTTTGCTGTGTAATTACCATTGAGCATGTGCAGTTTCAGTTTTGTGATTATAATTACTTACTTTTGTTAAACTGCAAATTTAAGCATGATCTGATCACATAATACATGCAAACAGCGAAACATTTTCGACAAACAACATTAAATGCATGCACATGCAGAAATCACACCTGTGAACTGGTGTAGGCCTAATAATAATATTTATCTATGAAATGCAAACATGAAGGAAAATCCATGGAAAAAAAACAAAAAGAATTAAATTATCAGCCTATACTAACAATAATGCATGAAAACAACCTTTGTGTACAGATATTGTGCTACATTTATCATGACAACAATGTGCAAACATCTTTAAACTAGCCGGCACTATGCCAAACAACTGTACATAAACAGCGTGCACAAGACAAGTTCAAAAAGTTAACATGGTTAAGTTACAAGTTTACAACCACCGATGCAGTGCACAACATAAAAACCTACGATACTATCAAACGCAGAAGTGCACAAGGTGGCACTTTTTGTTTACTTTGATCACAGGTTCACCTGGAAAACACACAACGGGACAGCTCAATACAGAATGCGGGGAAATCCACAAACAATGGCGATATTTGCAGCCAATTTTGGGTGGTACGACCCGCTTGCAGTGCGTTCCACATTGTTTAGCCACCACAACGAGTTACGTACGGGGAGATTGGTGAATATTTAACACTTTCCACGACATACACGAACGAAATAACTACATCTTTTCACTCGACAAGCACCAATCTAGGGCTGTGCGGAACCATTTTGTGAACAGTTTCCCCAAAAGTGAGATTTCAGGCCATTTTTCGGTGAAGCAACCTACCTTCCAATCAGCCGCCATAGTGAAGATGAACTGCGCATGCGCAATACATTTCCCGTTCTTTCAGCATCAGTGGGTGCAGTGCGTTGTGTGCGTGTTGGCCGGACTATTTTATCTCCGTCGGACGCCTACAACTTTTTGCAACACCATGAGGAAATTTCTTAGATTTCGGTCTTCTAAGGCTCAAATTATTGTTCTGTCCTTCACAAAGTTACTTGAAATATATGTTAAATAATTGTACAATTTATCCGAAACGTACGCGCGTTAGTGGAAAGATGAGTTCCACATTTTCGTCCACAAAAATGTTTTTGGGAGACTAGTTCGACCTCTCCGCTCAGAGCTATTGAAATAGAATTTCGTGGTATCCAGGATGATCAGATTGAAGAACGATCTTTTATTTATTTTCAATGCTATTGTCGTGAATGTTTCTTGTTCAAAATTAACCCAATCCGTTATATTTCTTCAACTGCCCCTACCTCCATGATTATAACGTGTGTCTACGATCTTCTTCCCAGGCACACACTAGATTTTGACTTGAGACCCCAGGCCTTTAGGCCCGTCAATCTGGCATTAGTTTAGTCCTATTGTCATTCAAGCACTAATCAGGTTTTGTTTTTTAATCACATGTAAAATTTAAACTTTTGGTATATTTTTGCCCCGTTTAATATCACTTAGGCTGCCCCTTTATTCAGTAACGCTTGACTGCCTATATGCTTATATGACTGGCTTCCATGACCTCTCCTGTTATTTAAACGTTTTAGATGCGATTACAATCAGCTTCAGCTGTGTCGGTTAGTTGGTTTGGACACAAATCTGTGGAGGATACTGCCGTTAACTTAAGTTAGCAAAGGTATCAAAGGCCAACGCCAAGCCATGTAATGACGTACTCGCTCAGTGTACGCATCTGAGAAAGTTTTAGGACGGTACAAACTCGCACTGGTCGAGACTCCATCGCAGACAGTCTCCAACTATCTGCGATTGATTACCGGTTTGTCTCGACGTGCTTGCGTGCTTAAGATCTACATGGACTCATTGACCTTAGGCCTAATCCCAACTCGATGAAAAATATAATGCACTAGGCCTACAATGTATAGCAAAAGGAGCCATTATAGTTAATGATGTCTTGTTTATTGCATTCATAAGTGGATTCAGTTTAGTACGGTCACGTGGCAAGTTCGTAAATGTAAATGTGACATTGTTACGTCAAATAACGTCAGTCACATCACTTGCGTCACAGGTGGTGCGTATTGCACTGAAGATACTGTCATGGGCTCTCCACTAGACTCCGCCGAACAGAGAGTATGTTGTTCGGCAAAGGTTATTATGATTTCATGATTATATCTTGCATAGTAAAGGAAAATAATCGTGACTTAATTGGCATGATAATGAGGCGGAAAAAACAATTGCCTCTTGTGACGTCGACATTGTCTTTTGTACACAACAACGAACGAGGACGCATGGCGTCCGACCTAAAAAAAAGGCAAAACCGAGGGTGAGTCCATTTACTTTCAGTGCCCCCTTGAAAAAAAATGTGTGCACCCCGAGGTGCCCCCTAGATGTTTCATCCCAGTTACGCCCCTGCTCGTGCACTGGGGGTCACGTCCCGGCCCTGACCACGATAGCTAACAATAATTATTATTAAAAACCAAACTTGAAAGTTTCGCTTAATGTTATTTTAGAGCCAGGGGGAAGGTAAGAAGAAGTGGCAGACGGAAATCATCATGGGAGGGGAGGGGGTTGTTACAATATTGTTGATTTTCCCACTGGTATTTTGCCTGTATCACACAATGTGTATCGTGTGTCAATCACCTTATATTGATAAGAATTTCAGCAGTCACGTGACATACAAATCGAGATTAGACTTAATTACTGTAAGGGATCTGTTCCATTATATGTTACTTCGGCGTATATATAAACGTGTCTACATTGCAAACATTGAAGTAATATAGAGGTTGCAGAAGATATACATATAGAAAATGACACAATTGGTTTTTTTGACTTATCACGCTTCTTCCTGTGCAGGCCTACTTAATGAGAAAGTAGACTAGAACATGTTCGACCGCTTAATACCAACCTCAACTAAATTTCGATTCCCAATGATCATGGTATCCTTGAATTCACAATTCCACTAAGATTAGTCATTTTAATAGCTCAAGTACTGCAGCCTCTTCAATCCGAATGCACCGCAGTACCTTCCATAATGTATATAGGCCTTTATATGAAACAAGGGGATTTCCGTTTTCAAAGCAAACCTTGAACCCCAAATTGTTGATTAAAATGTGAATGCAAATGTGTAGGTGTTAGATTTACCGAGAGGACAAAACGTTTCGATTCTTGTTTAACGTGACCTTTATTCCATGCACAACCAAGGCAAACTTGCATGCATGTACAATGCATACACACAATAAGTGGTAGGCGTAATGTACGCTCCACGGTGAATTGTATAATGATTGTGCGCGTTTGCGGCAAAATGAACGTACACTGCGAAAAAAACACACACAGAACGTTGCTATATTTCTCCAATTAGAAAAGCACTTTAAAGTCATCTAGGTTCTGAAAATGGTTATGCTATAGTGTATGGTCACGGTACTACAGAATTTAATATGACTTCTTGTTTACTTTGACAATTTAGTCTTTACAAATAAGGTATCGCATGGTCAACTTCAATAGGCCTATAGGGCCTACCCGTTTCAGCTACTGCGACAATATCTCGTATTCTTCAATTCCCATAGCCTTCCTAAAATAGTATACAAAGCATCATAATATTTTAACCCAAGACCAAAGACGTCACTCAATCTCAGACCTAGACATCAAAATCGAAGTCTTTCTGGTGACATTACCTATCAAACGAAAGTGGTCCGTGACCAAACCAGTAATATTGATTTCGAAATATGTCCTTCAAACTTTTTGAATGAAACTCCCTGATAATCTAGAACCGGGCCAATTATGATGGGTAGGCTATTACAACTTGCAAAAGTCTCGACCATAATCACTTACAGGCATCATGCATCTGAAGAAGGGCAAGTCTATAATTTGCAGGGGACTCACAACCCTTAAGTTGTAGAGGCTATTTGTACTTTCAATGATATTTTGATAATCCATTCTTCGAGGTCTCCTTCATCATAAATACATGAGCTCACATCTAAATACAATCATCAGCACTCACTTTGCCACAGCCCTATACAGGAAACTCGCACGATATATCACGCACGGATGACGTCACAACGCGGGTGCATGACCGGCCAATCAGAACTGCCGCCTTGATATGGGCTAATCAATATCCGGCGCAGCACTCATGACTATGCCGATATCACTCCGCTTCTTTGTAAGCTGCTGACCATAGAACTCGTTAATATTACAGCTAGCTATATAGTTAAATGATTCTGAAAATAGTGTCTCCACTACTCCGATTTATGCACTGGTTTCGGAAAATAGCAAATTCCAGTCCATGACAGTGCAACTTAGTCGATTTTTCTTTGACAGACGTTCGACCATGAGGGCTATATGCGTACGTACCACTTGATCATAAACAGAAAATTATACCTCTAAACGGTCAGTCAATAAGTAATTTATAATCGTCAGTACCACTTAGAAAAAATCATGCGGTGATATACAATCTACAGAATGATAGGGGTTGAAAACTTGGTTTGCATGACTCAAAAATCCAGATGGTAGGCCTACCCCGTATCAAGCATATTTCGTGTTCCCCCTTAAATTGGGGTTTGACTAGTGAGGGGGTCACGGATAATAGCCATTGCCATCTAAGACGAACAACTATAGTTCATGTAAATTATTCCAGTATTATTGGAGGACTTTCTTGCGATGTACGATTGGCGTCAAGCAGTATCTTGCATCTTTCAGCAGTGTCAGGGGCCACTCATAGAACTAGTATATGCTAAAGTCCAATATTTGTTCAGCTAAAACGGGTTAATAAGCAACTGAAACATCATTATGATGTGCATTCGGCTTGTGTTTACTGAGAAGATTTACATGCTTAGCAGTGTTTTCTATTTAGCAGCTCATCCTGGCTTGAACGGTTTCACAGATGGTACATTCAAACAGTGTCAAATTCCGTACTTATAGAATTATATTTTATTAGTGGATAAATACGCGGTTTCCTTATAACGGGTATCGAATGGTTTACATGGCTGCTATACATTCAGTTCGCAGAAAGCTAGTGACCAAAATATCGGCGTCCGGACGGAAGTACGTACACTGTTCTTCATAATTTAATCGTCCGGCGTTGAAATCATTCGGTTTCCATTTCGATTCCAGGAGTGGTGCCGGGGAAATTATATAGTCGTTAACCACAGAAACAGCCTAGTTTGAGCAAGGAAAGTGCCTCAATTACCAATTATCATGGTCATTATTTTGTCAGGTATAATGGCTCAATAGCTTTGCTATCTGTAGAAATATGGAATCGTAATCTTAATGATAATGAATCTACTTGATAACCCGAATCTTCTTGTAATTTAGTGAACAAGGAAGTACATGAAACAATCACATAAAGAGTTGTGTAACACGTATACTTCGATGGAGTTGAAATGATTGGGCCTACAAAAAAAAGCAAAAGTGAAAAATTGAAAAGGCAGATTATCATCACTGACCTAATGAGTGTATACGTCAGGAAGGAAAAGAAAGCTATATCAAAGAGACCAGCTTGAGGTTGAGTGAATACAATATTTTATGGATGATAACCTATATTGAAAAGAACACTACTGCAGAGTTGTGCACGCGGGTCGCCTGGGTTTAAAAGGTCATGATACATTAAAGGACTATAGAGGATCATTTGCTTTCCATGCATTTTGTTCGTTTCCAATAATAACACCACTGAAAATCCGAAGAAGAACGTTCAAAACCTAACCTGTTGAAGTTTCAGCTCAGTGGATATTACACTTGTCGAGAAAACAGTGAAATACTCCTCGTAAACAATCAGGTTTAGAAGCTAAACATATTGTGTTCAATTCCTAAACATAGATGTCCAATTGCTAAACGCTATCCATCCTTACTCTAAACATGTTTAGTTATTAAACACAAACTGATAACACGAAAGTGTTAAAAAAATGTTAAATTGCCGAACTCATTTTGTTCGTTT